TAACCTAAATTATATGTTTATGCCTTTTTAGAATATAAGATTTTTTAAAATTATTTTTTTTGTGTTTTATTTTTCAAGATATTATTTTAATTCATCTATTTTTTAATATACAAATGAACTATAATTTTTTCAAAATGAAAAATAATATTTTTTAAATAATATTTCTTAGATATTGAACCTTGTATAATATTTTTTTTTAGTATGTGAGTTTATTTAATCACTTTCATTTATATTTATTTTTCAGATCACAAGTTTTTTAGAGTGTGCGATTTAAATAAAAAAATTCAATAAACATAATCAGATGAATTTTTTATTTTATATTTTTGAATGTCTTGATCTATATTTATTTTTTAATTTTTTGATATTTCTTTTGGTTATTGTTAATGGCTTTTATTTAGTTAGTTATTTATATAAATGGTTATCAATTTATTTGATTAGATACTTGCATATACCTTTTGATTTACTTTTTAAATTTTTTTATGAAAAAAATATATCAAAGTAGATTCTATACTTAATATTTTTTTAAATAAAAATTTTTTAAAACAAGATGCCTATAAAAGTCACCGAGGAGAGGCCTTTTGAAAATTTTGAATAAAAATCTATTATATAATTTTATTAATATCATGTATCATGAAATTCATTAATGGCAAGGAAAATAAAAACCTACCATATAATGTCAAGAAGTACAGGATTTGTCTTTTCAACATTACTTCATACATGTGGTAATATTGAGTTTGGTTAGTAATTAATTATAAAAATAGAGATAGTTTGATAATTTTATGTTTTCATAGTTTTTAAGTGAATTTTTATATTTTTAATATTATAGAAAGACATGTCTTTTTTTGTTTTTGTTATCTTTATCTTTTCTATTTTTGAATTATAAATAAACTCTATTTAAATGTTGCAATCCAAGTAGTTCATTGTCTTTGTATGTATATGTGTATATATGTGTGTGTGTGAAAGAGAGAGAGATTATCATCTTCAACTTCATCTTGATTGTTATTTTTGATGATTTTCTTGATAATTTGTTCATTGCTTAAAAACTTTCAAGTTACTTTGTTTTCTCTTAGATGTCTCAAAAGGTATTCAACATTCATTGTATTGCGATAATTTAATTTTTTAATTAGAACATATAATTATTGAATGCTTATTATTGAATGCTTTTATCATCTAAGTGTTGATCCAAATACTTTTGCATTCACCATATCTATAAACCTAATTTTACAATGTTGAAAACAATTTGCAATTAAACTTGCTTGAATATTTTTTGTCCAAATCGAGATTATAAGATTCATTGCATCTAAAACATGCATATTCTTTAGAATTTTGATTCTAATTTCATAACCCTATAAAAGACTTCAATAAACAATAATAATGCATCTTGTAATCTCATATGATCCTCAAATCATAAGGCTAAACTTTTTATGTTGTGTTTGATTGTAAAAAAACAATTCAATATTTTTGAACTTTCTATATTTTTTTGATGAGTGAGACAATTATTAACAGGCGAGAGAGCTTTTCTATCATCCATTTTATATCAAGATATCAAACATATTCTTGGAATAAAATCCCAGTCATTCATTCTTATTTGTTTGCACGAGGGTAGCATTTTATACTGCTCAAGTCCACATTCTTGAAACAACTTGGTAGCATACTTGCTAATAAACCATATAAAGTTTTTCATAACCATCCTCGTTATAAAAAATAGCAATTGTAAGTTTTTACTTTTCTTGTTTCTTATCTTTATATTGCTTTGTTTTAAGAGAATGTTTTAATTGTAGATTATAAAATAATCATATTTCATTAATATTGAACACATCTTTAACGAAAAATTGATCTAGTTTTTTTCTTGTAAACTACAAGTTTTTCTCTCCATGAGTTCTATATCACCTATCTGTTTTTTTTTTAATAATAATACATCTTGATAATATATCTTAGTTTGAAACACTCAAGCCAAACTTAAAAAATATAAAATGATGACGCGCGTGCACTCAAGCCAAACTTAAAAAATATAAAAATGACGCGCGCGCACACACATATATATTTTTTTTAGAAACTCTTTTGCATTCTTGGTGATTAGTTCTTCATCATATTCAAATTTTCTTGATATTGAACAAACCATAACCTTCTCTAGCTCTAGGAATTTTATGTTTTTATTTTTCATCTTTTTTTTTAATATTGGCTCATCGAGATACTCTGATGATCTTTTTAGTTGTGTTTGATATTGCTGCTTAAGTTATTTACAATTTAAATTTTTCTAACATTGGTGCTTACAATTTATAATTAGTTTTAAATACAAGTTGAATTTTTTGTATTGTACTCGCATAATGTTTTTTGCATTTCATCCATTATTGTTAATTTCTTTACACCTCTCTCACATAATATTTTACACATTTCATCTTTTATTTGTTGATTTCTTTACACCATTGATATGAGAAGTCACTACAATTAATCTTATTGTTTATGATACTATATATATAAAAATGTTTTTGTTTGACTTGATATTCATAAAGTATATTAATCAAGTATACATCAAATGTAATTTTAATTTGTTGCAAAAATAAATAGTCACATGACTTCTATTCAATAAGACTAATTATATTTGTGAGATTGTTTTGGTTAAACACATACATAAAATAATAATAATAATTTATAATTTAATAATTAGATAACATTTGTATAACCACAATACATAATACATGTATTCAGTTGAACGTTTTGGGGAAAAAAACCTTGATAAATTATTTTTTACATCAAGTAATGTATAAATCAATAAATAATTAATTTATCAATTAAATAATATCATGATTATTTAATAAATTTTCAAGATACAAAAGAGAATAATTTATATTTACAGAGGAATAACTACAGGCGTAAAAAATCCAATGGAAAGCATAAGCTATAAAGTGCAGCATGTTTCAACTTTTGAATTCCAAAACGAGGGCCAATATCAATACTAAACTTCATTTTGTCATTTATCATGTATGGCTTCCTATATATTAAGAATAGTTCTTGTTCATCGGCAAGGTAGCCAAGATGGCGGCCGGGTTTCGCCTTATATTGAGGCCCAAAGGCGGACATGAAAAGTCGCACCATGAAGATTGACATCATCATCGTCAAAATTGCCAAGAAAGGATTATTTGCTTACACTCAGAACAAACACGTACACAGCAGACTACTTGAAAAGAACACAACATCAAAACTACAGCTACCCCCATCAGCATTCCCAAAGACAAACACACAAGAAACAACTGTATCTGCAACTACAACTTGATCGAACTCACTTCCCAACAAACTCCCTTCCCACAGACCAAAACTAAAGAGCTGCAAGACAAATTGCACTTTGCAATTTCTGTATCTGTGGTGAAGAGTGAAACGAACCATTGCTGTTGCATTTTGCACTCAGAGCTGCACTTGTCTATCAAAAATCCAACTGAAAGGAATGACGGGTCCTTGCTTGGCCCTCCCTTGAGCTCTTTCTTCCAGCTTTCTAATTCTTGGAGGTAACCCGCAAACATAATCCTGAGCTTTTTTGCCCTCAGCAGAAAGTCCAGTCAATTTCTCCACCTTCCACCTGCCCACCAAGAATTCCAATATATCGGCATAGTCCTTGGCGGTGTAGACTCCAAGACGCTGTGCAACAGCTGAAAAGTGCTCAAAAAGGTTATCGTCACTGCCATCATACATCAAGTGTGCAGGCATAGCAATTTTCTTCCTCATCATGTCAGCAAAAGCCAGAACAGTTGCATCAGGATCAATCTCGAAGAGCTTTTCCACTATCTTTGTGTAGGCAGTCTCATGACGCTTTTCGTCTGCAGCAATTATACCACATATCTGAGCCAATTTCATGTCTCCATGCTCCTTGGCATGTCTAGCAGTGTTCCCATGGGAGATGAAGGTCGCCCTCTCTTGGAAAGAAGTGTAGATGAACCCCAGGTAGGGACTATTTTCTGTCCGTGGATCCTGTGAAAAGATACAAGAAAAGAAAATCAAATTAGAAAAAGGCACCTTCCAGACTAAATTGTCAGGTGATCTACTCCATGGATCCACATTATTAACTCTTATAAAGGTATCTAGATTTTGCTTCAAATGTAATCATAACAGGAGATTATTTTTTTCAGAAAATAATCTCCTGTTAGCGGTCCTAATTCTTCAATTTCCAGTGAATTAGATCAAGATTAAACTGCAATTAGAAATGCATGCATATGGACTGGGTCGAAAATAAAACCACCACCAACCAGTAGAAATCAATTTACTATGCTAATAGCTGAATCCACAACTGCGGAAACTTTTGTGTGGTGAGCACCCAGAAGTGCATCCAGAATTGCATCACAATTGCTAACCGGACCAATGAAAAATCTATGAACATGTGGTCAAAGGATCAATTATGTTTCTTCTGTGAGCTTGCATCCAAATATAAGAAAATTTACTACAAGGATCTCACCATTCCTGACCCAATTAAATATTGAATTGTCTTCTCAATTTGCCTCATGTCCACTCGCCCAGAGAGATAGAGATACTTGTTAAGAAGGTCACCATGCCTATTCTCTTCAGCAGTCCATGCCCTTGTCCAAATTGCCCACGATGAAAGGCTAGCACCTGTTTCATCACGAACTCCATCCAAGGTATTCAGCATTGTTTGATAAGTTGGAAGAGCTTCTTCTGTGACCATGTCTCCAACCAAAACAACAAAGTAATCATCTGGAAGCTCCCTTGCCCTCTCCCTGAGTTCCCTGACTTGTTCTTCAAATCCATCAGAGGCAGGATCGGGCAGAAAATCTTGTGGTTGCCAACATTTCTCAACTGGCTTCAGATGAACCAAGATGTTCTGCTCAGCCCAATACTCTAGAGATTTGAAGATTTCAATCTTTTGGGGTGGCATAGAATGTGTGACTTGTACATGCACCTCCCTAGGGGGCATAAAAGGCTTCTTGACACTCTCAACCTCCCTGCATTGAGTAGAAAGATTCAGGATTGTGTGCTTAATGTATAAATTGGATTTGTCTCAGGGATTGGACACAGCTAAATGCTTCTACACAGTGACACAACAGTATAATAGGTGCCAATATTTAATTAGTGACTGTTCCTGCATGGCCTGTTGAATAAGAAACAATGAAAAAGAACACTAAGTGGAGAGAGGATATACACAGAAATTGGTTTTATTAATGTCAGGGCAGTTTGATGCAAGGATGAGCACACGCGAAAGGTTTGTATATACAGTCTTCACTCACTTTGGCTAGAATCTCTCAGCTTTTCTGGGGTAGCAGCGGAAAGAGAGTTAAAGATAGGCTTCCCCTTCTCTCCATTTATTGAATCTAAACTTCATTATTTGTTGCTCACACACTGTTCAATCTCCCTGGCAGATCTCTCACCTTATCACCATAAACTCACATCTCCAGAATACAAATAAAAATAAATAAAAGTGGATGTTCCCATTGTATAGCACTACCATCACCATAGGCCCAAAAGAAACCCATATTCTGGTTTGAAAATCAGAAACGTGGTTATGGATTTATTTATCTTGATTATATAAAAAATGATCTTCGGCCCTCATTCAATGTGTTGCACATTAACCAGCAAGTCCTCGGAGTTATAGTGTTAGCTGGTTGAGTGGAACATCAAACACAGCAGTGTAAGGCATCTTTGCTCAACAATTACCCTTCCTCCTTCTAAAGGTGGCCAATTGAAGATTGTTTATTTTAGGAGCAAACAAGAACCCAAGTACAGTTTTCATACAAAAAGGACTTTGCAAATGCCACAATCTATTATGAAGCCAAATGCCAGTATCACAACAACCACAGCAGAAAACAAGGGATAGTGGGAATCAAACATCTTATCAAATGATCTCATATGAAACAATCAAATGTTAGATTCACAGTTACAAAAAAGAAGGCAACCCATGCATTCCACCTCAAAAAGAAGACCAACGTATAAAATAGACAAGAACACAAACAAGCAGCTGGCTTGCAGTTACCAAAAGCAAGAAAGTGGAAACAAATAGGGAGACGAGTTGTAGGGAAAAGAGTTATTTGGTTCTTATCAACATGACATAAAGCTACAAGTAAGATAATAGTCAATGCTCTCACCTATGGAACCAATGCAAGGGCTAAACATTTGGGATATCAAACTAGGTTCAACAACTTAAATACCCACTTGAAATAAACCAATATCTGCCTCATAAAGATGTCTGAAAATATAATTATACTATATAGATCACCTAGTATGAAAAAAAAAAGATAATAAATAAAAAATTAGCATCCAATGCAAAAATCATAAAATTTAAAAGAAAACTGCTGAAGATCCTCGAAGATTAAAAATGAAGTTCGAGTTCACCAAACCCCTCAAGTGAAGGAGAAATATTTCTGCACCACCTAAAGAATATGGCAAAAAGCTACTTGAAGAAAAGTCAAAGATTCACTACCTGTCAACCAGTGCAATAAAGGAATCTGTCTACTTAGCCACCCATTTTAAAGACTTCCACCAACTTGAATGTCCTTTTTAGATGCAGATTCAACAACATTTAATGAAAAACAATGACATGACAAACAGAAAACGTACTTCAAAAATTACATCTATCAGCCTAGAAATGTAATCATCGTGTTTGAATTGAAGCCCACGTAAAATTGTGCGACATAGATCACTCTACATATGTATGAATCTAATAGAACTGACAGCAGGGAACAGAAAACAATGACCGCAGAAAAAGAATAATTCTGAAAGCATATAACAGCAGTAGAACCAGAATTACAAGGCACCCAGGTCACCTCTGGTAATGACCTGTCATAGTAATGTAAAGGACACGAATCCTTCAATAAACTAATAAATACAGACAAAACTACCACAACAGAGTAAATATGAGCAAGCAACGAGTGCACAAGCATGCAGAAATCATATGCAACATAGATTATAACGATGAATCAATCAAAATGACCTGTCATAGTAATGTAAAGGACACGAATCCTTCAATAAACTAATAAATACAGACAAAACTACCACAACAGAGTAAACATGAGCAAGCAACAAGTGCACAAGCATGCAGCAATCATATGCAACATAGATTATAACGATGAATCAATCAAAATATTAAAACCAAATTGATAAACTTTCAGCCAGGTTTTTTATCCAATGATCATTGAAAGTTTAAAGTTTTTGTCTCCAAACACGTACACAAACAAGCACCCATATATGATACATCCAAGCATCTTACTTCATCCATCTCTAAAACCAGACACCAAAAGCTTCAATGACGCCGACAAAAATATAAAAATCTTTGACATAAAATATATGCTTCTTTTAATAGAAGAGAATCAATGCAAAGGCTAACCTGGAATTCTAGAAACAAAGATATGGACAATATAACAAATAACTTAACCACCCCGTCACCCTCTAGCCAGAGAAGACAGCCAGAAAAAAACGTGCTGGCATTAAAACCACGGGCTATAAAGAAAACCACCAAACCAAAGAGAACCATCCCAAACACATATATGAATCAAGAGAAATAATAATAAATAATAAAGGAATTTCAATAGCATATGCCTTTAATGGCTCTAGTCATCATAAGCCAGAAAACGTTCGTAGAATCTTATGAAACCTGATTTCACAGACGGGAAAAAATTGAACCCCCCTGCATTAATTCTCCTCTCTTAGTTGGTTTTTTCATAACATGCCAAAAACTCGAATGAATCAACATAATAAATGTCTTGCCATTTTAAATCCCAATAAAAAAAATTATATAAAAAAAGAAAAGCATAGAATCATAATTTTTTTATGCTATAAAAACAATAGAAACACCACTCCAACAGTTCAAAAAAAAAAATACTTCGATGTTAAAAAATAGACTATACATACGAGAATGTTCGGTTGGACAATGTACAAACTTGAATTAAACTCTCAAAAAATAAAAACCTATATAAAACAAATGTGAATACTTACTCGAAACAAAAAGGCACATCTCTGTGAATTCAAGTTATAGAAGCTAAATTTGAAGGGGACAACAATTAGAAGATGAATATAAAGAGCATCGCAGGCAAAGAACAAAACTCATCTAGAACAGACCTGAAGCAACTTTCATTCAAATCCAATCAGGGCAAAACAACACATCAGGCAAAGAACAAAAGCAAGGTCCATGATCATTGAAAAACTGTTGAAACTTTCAAATTTGATACCCAAAAACAGAAAAAAGTGTTTGAAGGCATAAACAACAAGAGAGAAAAAATGTGTATGAAGGCATAAACAACAAGATCACAAAACCACACACGAATAAGTAATGAACACAGAAGCCAAATTACAGTGAGGAAACAAAAACCCAGATCCAAAATCATCTGAAAATCTTAAAAAACATGCAAAGATCCATGCTTTATAAGCAAAAACAAAATGGGCATTGAAGAGAAAATGAAACAGGGAAAGAAAGCAACTCACTTGGTGCGAGAATTCAGGGTATAAGCCATGCGAACCTTAGGAGATCTGAAGCTAGCCATTGGTGGAAGAGAAAACGCAGGAAACTTTTGAGATTGAGAGACAAAAGGATTGAGCTTGAGAGCCATTGCTTGCTGTTTTTTTTCTGTGTCCCAGGCTCAGTTTCCTCCACAAAGAAAAAAAAAAAAATCTTTTTTTAAGGAGAGAAAAGGAGCAGGGGAGAGAACAGCGAAGTAAGAAACCGTATCGGGACTCAAGTGCCGTATTTATATCAATAAATATATATTAAACTACTTATATTTTAACACAATTACTTTTTTGCCCCACCATTTATTTCTCTCTACTTGCTTGTTAGGAGATCTTCAGGGCACTACTTTAATTTTTTGTAGAATTGAAGCAAGGAAAAATAATTTTTTTATTCAAATATAATACTTTTTATATGGAGACTATTTTTATTTTTTAAAAATTTATATTCGGTTAAAAAAAATATTTTATAAAATTATTTTTCTTGGCAAGTTTTTTACTATTTTTTAAATAAAGAAAATATATAGGAGGTTTAAGATTAAGATTATTAAGGTATTACTAGAGTGTTCTAAATCTTTAGTATAAAAGTAGGGTTTATAAATAAATATTACGATAGGTCATTTTATGTGACTGAAAAAATAATACATCAAAAATTATTTAAGCCAATATTTAAAAAAAATTACACCAAAGTAATTTTTAAGCATAAACATCTCAAATCACTATGAATTAGATAACATATAATCAGCCCGAAATCAGAAACTAAATATGATCACACTCTCAAAAAAAAAAAAAAAAAGCATCCACGTTTGGATTGATGATGATCCACCCATCTTAATATTTGAAATGGGAAATTAGCCAATGGGATGGTAAAATCTAGTGCTGTATTTTTTATTAATTAGCAATAATATATCAACAAGTTGATGAGTGTTTGTATTTAAGTCTAAACTAGCAAAGATTTATCAGTGACCCAATGCATTGCAGGTTGATATTAGGGTTTCTGACAATAGCTAAGTTTGAACTACAAGCAATAATTCAAGGCTTGATTAATGTATGTTTCTGTAATACATGCATGAGGGCGAAAGTTTGACAAATCAAGTATATGATCATACTCCTAGTCAAAAACAATTTACATATATATATATATCTATATATATATATATATGTCTGTGGTATAATATGTTTTTGTGTAAATGATGTAACACGATGAGCACGAGGTATGTTTCAAGAAATATCTGGACATGTTTGCAAGTTTTGATGATGGTGTGTATAGCATTTTTTTGGTAGAATTTTGTTGAATTTACTTCCAGTAGTTGGTATAATAAAAGATTCAATGAATGGACTGCTTAGTGTGAGTTTCAAAGAGTTGGTTTGGTAATTCAATAGTTATATGTTAGTCTATTCGTCGGTGCTTTGTTATGAACTAAGCTATTTTAAAATATATGTATAAAAAAAAATCTTAGAGAGCAGAGATTTTCTTACAGTGATATTAAACTTGAATAAAAAAAATAAATCTAAAATTCTCTTCACTTTGATTTTTATCCAACCCGAGTTCCTAATCAAACTATATAAAAGTTAATTCTATGTGAATTTATTTGTTTAGGGGATGTTTGAAAAAATGATGTGCTTTTTGTTTAAAAATATATTAAAATAATATTTTTTTATTTAAAAAATTATTTTTAACATTAGTATTTCAAAACAATTTGAAAATACAAAAAATAATTTTGAAATACAGAAATAAATAGACTCAATTGGTTTAAATGATGAATCACTAATTTTTATTTTGAAAAACTAGTATTGAACAATGAAATCTGATAAAAAAAAAAACATAAGATAAAATATAAAAGATGATGTCAAGTTGCATCAACTTTTTAAATTCATGAATCGAGTTATTAGACTGCAAATATCTTACATGAAAAAACATTAAAACTCAATCCTTAGCATTTGAAAGATGAATTATCATTGTTATTGTTGTTATTATTATTCATTTTTATCACTATTATTATAACTATTACTATTATTGTTGTTGTTGTTATTATTACTAGTAGTAATAGCATTATTATTATTGTTTGTTGTTGTTATTGTTATTATTATTACTAGTAGTAATAGCATCAATATTATTATTATTGTTGTTGTTACCATTATTATTAATATCGTCATTATTATTATTATTATTACCACTATTACAATTATCATTATCACTATTATTAATATTATTATCATTATTACTGGTATTATTAGTAATATTGTTTATTATTATTTTTGTTATTATTACTACTACAACTATCATCATTATCACTACTACTACTACTATTATTGTAAAAATTATAAACTTGATTTGAAAGATAAAATTAAAAATCATAAAAACTTTAACAAAAAAAAAGAAAACAAATAAGAAATCAAAAGAAGAATGACCAAACAAAATTAGTATTATTATTGAAAGAAATCATTAATACGACTTGAATGATAAAATTAAAAATTATAAAAAAAAACTTTGATAAAAAAGTCAGGAAAAAAAAACATATAAAAAATAGAAGGACCGAATTAAAAAATATTATATAAATACAAATTAGAATTGAAGGATTAAAACAAAAACTTTAACTAGAGAAAAAAGGACTAAAATCAAAAATTAAAACTAAAATGATGAATTTTAAAATACCAATAAAAAACAAGGGTCAGATTAAATTTTTTTAGGGTGCAGGAGAGAAATTAAAGGGAAAAATAAAAAAAGACTACCGACAATAAACTAATCATTTTTAATCAAAGAAAAGAACATGATAAAGAACATAATGAAATGACGGAAGTATATTTTCCATCACCAGAAAACGTTGCACGTACCGCCTATAGAACCCGTTTGGCAACGAGGTTGCGTCTGTGTTTTATTTAAAACGCAGAGGTAACCTTTTTGATAAAAAAAAAACACATTTTACTGTGTATGGATCCCACGTTTTTTCACGTCCGAGACACAAAAAAAGAAGAAGCAGCATTTTGCTGCTTTGCGCACACTGTTCACGCTAATTTCAATTGGCGTGAACAGTGTAGAATACACTGTTCAGTGAATGCGCACACTGTTCACGCTAATTTTAATTGGCGTGAACAGTTCAGTGCACAATGCAAGAGATTTGCACTGTTCACTTGAAAAATAACGAGCAGTGCAATTCACTTGCACTGTTCACACTTTTTTTAAAAAAAATATTAATTTTATTAACATTTTTTTAAAAAAAAACTAATTTAAAGTAAATTAAATTCATTTGCACTGTGATGTGAATAATATTTTTTTTCCTGAAAAACTAGTATATAGTGAATTAAATTCACTCGCACTATAATATCAATTTTATACCTGATAATATTTTATCTAATTTTATTA